CAAGACCACAGACCGCTCTGCCTTTATAAGCAGAGCCTGGCTTAGCCGGTAGCACTCTTTTTTGAGCTCTTGTCGGAACCTTGGCTTGCAGCCGTATTAGTCATTAATGACCTCAGACATCGCTCACCTCAAACGCGTAGGACGTGCATTAATGCATGGCCTGTTTGTGCATTGTTATGCCATATTACTGGCAGATACGCCATCCATAGGTGTTACGCGTGTCGTAGTGTGCATGGCCTACTCGTGCTTGTTACATAGTTAGGTCTACACTGCGGCTTTGTGCTCTGCGTTCGCACGTGAGTCATGTCAATAGTGACCCATGTCTCCTTGTACCCCTTCTCTGCGCTCTTGTCGGACCCTTGTCCTACAGTCGTACTACTCAGTAATGGCACCACACGTCACTTGCCTTGAACATGCGAAATCTGGTTGATTCGTTCGTAGTGATCCCACGCAAGATCCCTAGTGAACCACGCCAGGACCACAGACCGCTCCGCCTTTATAAGCAAAGCCTACCTTAGCCATTGGTACCACCACTCGTCGCACTTTAGCTCGCTTAGGTTTTCCCTTTGAGCAAGCTTTTTACTCGGGCCTTCTTTGTAGCCATGACCAGAAATGGCAGGAACCTGGGTTAGTAGTTACTGCCTGAACGTTGAGGGTTTTCCTAGAATCCTGCATGCCACCCTGCAAAAGCTTGGAGTCAAATATCGTCCCGAGTATGAGGGCCATGTATCAGAAACATGGCACCGATCGGTGTGAGGTTACCGTTTACGTTGGGAAGAGTGAAGAGTTCCCCGACATCACCGAAGCCTGGAGTGTGACCGCAACCAGATTTAGATTCACCGACACCTACCAGGTTGTGGCCCGCAAAGCTTTGCGGTACCTTTGCCAGCTCTATGAAGAGCCCGTTGCTCGTACCCCCATGAAGTTCTTTCCACCCTTGGATAGGAATCGGCGACCATGGATGGCTCGCATGGAGGCTTTGCAAGGGCGTGATGCGCAAGAAGATAGTCCTACCGTGGTGCACTTGACCACGTACCTGCTTGCTCTGGATGAGCAGTATGACCGGCAAGCCTTGGAGCTGAGGGCGTGTCTCCGGCGCGCCGAAGAAGCCGAGATCTTCACTCGGATGCTCTAGGTGCAGCTCGCCGAAGCGCATGCCAGTGCTACAGCTGCTGAGAGCCGGGAGACTGCAATGTCAGAAGCTCTGAAGGAGGCCAAAGATTGGCATGTTCATCAACTGGGTGAGGCCTATTTGTTCACTAGGGCCAAGCGGAGGGCGCTGGTTGATGAAATGCGGGATGCCCCGATCTTGGAGGGGATCCCTATCCACCCAACTGAAACAAGGAGAACCGGTGATGTAGAACCGCCAGCGCCTCCACCTTCGGAAGTGTTAGAAGCAGAACCCTTGGTTCCTCTCACTCAGCCATTAGTGCGAGAAGCTACAGATCCATAGCCAGGACAATAAAAGAATCCGCCGAGCACAGGAATCAAGATGCGTGGTTCCAAGGTAGATTAGTTGCCTTGGGATGCTGTACCCGTAGTAGTAGTGCTTTTCGTCGCTGTCCTCCTGTATTGTACTCTTGTCGTTATTATCATCCGTAGTTATTGGATGCGTGTTGTAGATTCACCTAAGAAGAGTGGATCCTGATTCACTTTTTTGAAACCCTCCCGTTAGGAGAAGTACTTGTGTTTTAGTTTTTGCTATTTTCGCCTATAATGTAATGCTATCCAATGTTGTACTTCAAATCTAAGTGTGTTAGTTGCTTGAACCCAACTCCATCAAATACTTCTTTCCACTAACATGTCATTTATTTCCCGGCTTAGAATAAGCACCATGTAATGACAACCAACCTCTATGTTCGTTTACAGTATTGAGACCAACCTTCAGTACTAATACGATGATGAGAAAACATATTAGTCATATGAGATTTCCTATACCAAGCAAATCACCCGCAGCGAAGCGCGGGCAACAATGGCTAGTGCCTAGGAAAGCTGGGTCTAGTGCTGCATCTTTGAACCAAGTCAAAGGTAGGCCCATGTAGAGAGGGGTACACAAATCAGTTCTTATTGTAACCAATGTTACCTTTGACATTTATATCTCTATTAAAATCTTATTGACCAACCTTTCTCAAATAAAAAAGAAACATACCTTTTCTTGTGAATCCATAGCTAGAACTTTCCTTTGCAAACTCATTTTCTGATTTAGTTGACACAAAACTATAATGGGTGATTTCTTTCTCAAAATAGAAGCATGCTTATTCTTGCAGATCCGCACCTTGAACTTTCTTTTTCAAAGCACATTTTCTCATTTTATTGACACACAATTATAATGGGTGATTTTCCCAGTGGCACCTTACTGACTTTTGGAACATGTTGCAGGTGAAAGCAGAAACTTTAAAGAACTGAAATCCAATACAAAGTAAACGTCAGGAAGTAGTTCTAATCCTTCATTAGGCTCTTATCCTCCATTAGGGCCAGATAAAGTTGGTATGCTCTCTAGAGGAAACTCAGGAGCAAACAAGAATCTGTCCCGTTGTAATAGTGATGATACTGTAGTTGTACGGTTTATAGGCTCTGCTTTGGTTGGGAAGTCAGAGACTGAAGATGCCTGTCACCATGGCCTAGTTGAACCAACTATAAACACTAAGGAGGCTTTGGATGCCATCAATGGCATGTTTATGGAGCCACTGGAACCTGAAACTATTCTCAAGAGGCGATCAAAGCGTGAGAACCCAAATTATAATCAGCAAGCAAGTGCATTTGATATCTTTGTTGATGATGATGAACCTAGTGGCAATAATACAAATATGCTCCAGAAACAACAGTGTGAAGCAAGACTATACAAAATTAAGTCAGCAAACAAGAGGATTTGAGATCTTTGTTGATGAGGATGGTCCTATTGGCAGCAACCAAAATGGAACACAAAACAGGAACTCTAGAAAGGAAAACATGAAGTTAAATCAGGAACCAAGTGTGTTTGAGATCTTTGTTGATGAGGATGGCCCTAATGGCAACAACCAAAATGCGTGGCAAAACAGGAACTGTGGGAAGGAAAACATGAAGGTAAATCAGGAAAGCAGTGGGTTTGAAATCTTTGTTGATGAAAATGAGGCTAATGGCACTGTCCGGAATGCTACGTGCTACAAGAGTAATAGGTATCCTCCAAGACCATTATCTGAGTCATCTCAGCATCAAGGCGAAAGCGACTTCCAGAAGCCATTTGTTGGATGGTTTGCAATATTGCCAGATGATGAAGAACAATGTGAGGAAAGTTATGGTGGTGCTAATATAATTTCCAGAACTGTGCAGCCTACTCATGATACTAGTACTTTGCTCTGTCCAGTTCAAAGTAATTCAGGAACAAGGAATCATGAAGGTCCTCATCCTGTGACTTCTGGGATTCAAGAAGACACTGTCATTCGTAGGTTTGTTGGATCCACTATTGATGATGAGCCTAAGGTGGAAAATGCATGCCACCATGGGTTAGTTGATCCAACTGTCAATCTAAAGGAAGCAATGGATGATATAAACAACATGTTCGGAAAACCACTGAACTTGAAGGGTGAAAGAACAAAGAGGGACACTAATGCACAGTCAGATGGAAAAGCAGCTCCAGCTTCTGGTTTCTCCATATTAGCTGATGATGACCTAAAAGAGATCTCCACCAGCAAAGCCAGTCAGAGCAATTTCTGCAGATTTGGGGATGAGAATGGTCTATTTGAACCCACAATCACCACTCGTGATGTCATGGCAGAGATAAACGATATGTGTGGAATGCCACTAGACTTGTAAGATGCATGTTTAGAGTGAACTGAATAACTCAACTGCTAGTTGGACAACTGCTTTCACCTTTCAACTCTCCCCCTGAGAAATGTGCAGTCTTGCTGATGTGAAGAGCATGGAATCAGTTCCCTTATTTGGTGCATAGATGGTGTGCATTTTCTTAAATTGTGGTCAAATGTTTATTGTTCACATTGATCAATCTTGAATATGTGGCATGTGTCTGATTTTGCCATTAAATTAAGTTGTCTAAAATATAACTGTAAAATTGCTGCTTTGTTTTTGCTAGTAATATTTCTTTAACAATTACTCTGAAAATGTTATGTGGTTTGGTGATTGTTGGTGTGAAACCTTACAGCTGCACTGTGGCCCAGGTGGAGATCACAACAGAATGTTAGGATTTTCAGGTCGTGAACCGCAGAAAAATGCCGAATTACCACTTCTTGTGGAGTTGCCACTGCCAATCTACCACTAATATAATTTATCTACTCAAGTGAAGGGAAGGGGGCGTAATTTGTTACAGGCCACCAGGTGATTCCTGTGGCGCTGTCAGATAACGCCGACATAGTGATTTTGGATTAGGCCATGTTTAGTTGCCCAGAATCGGCGCCGTCGAAATTACTGTTGATCACTGTAGCACACTGTACCATTTTGTTTGTATTTGGTAGTAATTGTCCAATAGTTGACTAATTAGGCTCAAAACGTTCGTCTCGCAAAGTACAACCAAACTGTACAATTAGTTTTTGATTTCGTCGACATTTAGTACTCCATGCATGTACCGCAAGTTTAATATGACGGGGAATCTTCTTTTTGCATAGTGTCAAAGTTGAGAATTTGAGAGGAACTAAACACACCCATACATGTTGGCTCAAAACTTTTTTTTATGTTGAAAAAACTGAGACTTGTATTTGATGGAAATTGTAGCAAGCATGGGTGCATATGTTGCTCTTGCTCTGTTCGTTATCCATAGTTGTGCTCATAAAAAAGAAAAAAAACATTGTCTGATGTCCATTTTAATTGTTTCAACCATTCTATCATCTCAGCATGATTAGGCTGCAGTTCAAGCACAGCAAGAAAATCTTGCAATCGTGGAGCTAGAGACAAACATCACAAACATCAGATTTAGCAGATAAGTGTTGCATTGTATATGTACAGCTTCAACAGGCAGTAAATCAGAGGACTGAAGATGACGACGACGGCCTAACTGAAAGCCTTGAAACCTAGCGGCCGATGCTGAGCTGCGCCAGGCGCGCGGCGATGTCCGCCCCGTCGGGCGCCGGCGGGGCCTCCTCCATCGCCACGCGCAGCCCCGTAGCCTCTCCGCGATGCCATCTACATCGACCGCCGCGACGGGGCTCACCATCGTCGACGACGGGGAGGCGGAGATGGCCCCGCAGACGGCGGCGCACCCTGCCTCGTCGGCGAAGCAGAGCGCGAACTCGGCGCCGGACTCGGGCTCCGCCCACGACAAAAAAACTCGCGCCGTCCAGCCTCTCGAAGGCGTCGCCGGGGAGGATCAGGTACACCAACACGATGCGCCCCCGGGGCCGCGGCTGCTGCTGGCACTGCTGGCCGTCGGCGTCGGGGCCCGCCGCGTACAGGACCAGGGACTGCCCCTGCGGACGGAGGAACGTGACGGCGGCGTAGGCGGCGCCGAGATTGCTCCAGTGGCCACCGTCGCCGCCGCCGCCGCCGGGGAGGTGGAGGACCAGAACGGGGTATGCGCCGCCGCTCGCCATCCGACCGGTTCGATCTATGGGGCTGGGACAGCGGAAAGGAGCAGGGGAAATATTGTCGTCCGGTGCGTCTGATCTCAGCCGCTTGTTTTCCATCCGACGTTTGCGAATAATTTTATTTAAGGTTGTGGTCTTTTGTGTGACAAATTTGCAAAATTTGTACTCCATTTTTTTTGAAACTTGGCAAATTCATCAAGGACATGAACAACAATGTTGTGACTAGTGTTCAAACAAACGATGGTAACACATATTACTTTCTGATTAAAATTGGACTTCATTAAGGGTCAACTTTAAGCCCGCATCTCTTTGCCTTGGTAATGGATGAGGTTACCAGGAACATACAAGGGGATATCCCTTGATGTATGTTGTTCGCGGATGATGTAGTGTTAGTGGACGAAAGCCAAGCGAGAGTAAATAGGAAACTAGAGTTATGACGGCAAACCCTTGAGTCTAAAGGTTTTAGATTGAGCAGAACTAAAACCGAATACATGAGATGTGACTTTGGCGGAGTTGTACAGGAGGGGGGAGATGTGAGTTTGGAAGGTCCAGTAGTGCCTAAGAAGGATACATTTCGGTACCTGGGATTGATGCTACAAAGGGATGGAGATATTGATGCGGACGTTAGCCATAGAATAAAAACAGGGTGGATCAAGTGGCGACAAGCTTCTGCCATTCTCTATGACAAGAGGGTACCACAAAAGCAAAAAGACAAGTTCTATAGAACGACGATTAGACCGACTATGTTGTATGGAGCATAATGTTGGACTACAAAGATTCGACATGTTCAACAACTGAGTGTTGTAGAAATGCGTATGTTGCGATGGATTTGCGGTCACATAAGAATGGACCGAGTTTAGAACGATGATATATGTGATCGCCTATAGGTAGCACCAATTGAAGAAAAGTTTGTTCAACATAGGTTGAGGTGGTTTGGCCAAGTCCAAAGGAGACCTCCAGAGGCACCAGTGATTGTGGAGTCATAAGCCAAGCTAATAATATGAGGAGAGGTAGAGGAAGACCAAAATTAACATGGGAGAGGCAATAAAAAGAGATTTGAAAGCTTGGGATATACCTGGAGATCTATGTTTGAATAGGAGTACTTGGAAAGCAGCTATTGAAGTGCCTGAACTGTGACTTAGGGATCTTGGTAGGTTTTAACTCGAGCCTACCCCAACTTACTTGGGACTGAAAGGTTATGTTGTTGTTGTTGGCAAATTCATTACTCAAGCTGATAAGTCATCAGAAGCGATTACAAGAACATCTTCAGGGACAGAACTTGTGATGAGTTCCTACCCTTCGATGCAACTATAACCTAATTATGCATCAAGTAGATATAATATATGTCTAGATACAAGCAATTTCTATGTACCGAAAAAGTCAAAACTACTTATAATTTGGAATAGAGAGAGTAGTTAAATTCAAATCATCGAACTTGGAATTAATAATTAGAATAACCAAATCATCAGCAACCACAAACTCTCTAAATTTCATACATTTCATTTAACCAACACGGCTACTTGTTTGTTTGCTAATGAAAAAACATGTATTAGACATGGTCGCGAAAGAAAACACATTTTCTACATTTCGGTCGTTTGGTTTTGGGCAACGTTCAGGACACGCACGCATGATTTCCTCTTCCCTGTGCACGTCTTCCTTCTCTTCGGCGTGATGTGGAATGGTGCCAGCGGGTGACGGCGAGCTTTTAGAGATCTTTGGCAACCTTAGAAAAGAAGGGGCCTAGGGGTAGACGGCTAGACATGCAGTGATGGCGGGTTGGGTGGTGGGCATGCAACCGCCAAGGGGGCAGGGTAGGACTCATCTAGATGGGAAGTGTCGGTGGTGGGGGTGAGGGCTCGACAACGAATTCGCGGGTTGGGATTAGGGGAGGGCGGGGTCGGCATGGTGGTGGCGGTTGGTGGGTGGCACGGTAGTAGCGGGAGAGCCGCTGGTCGTGGTGGCCGGGAAGGTCAACGGCGGGAGCGGGCTGCTGCGGATGCGAGGATGAAGAGAAACAATGTGCGGATTGGGATTAGGGGAGGACGGGGTTGGCGCGATGGCGGCGGTTCATGGACGTCGCGGCGATGACGCGAGAGCCGCTGGCCGAGGCGGTGGGAGCACGTTGGTGCGGGTGCGTGAGGAAGAAGATGATAGTGCGCGATCTAATCTAGAGCGTTCGTTTTGTATCCAACGGTGTTGATCATTGCCCGAAAAGAACAAAAAAACTCAGGCGCCTGAAGAATAGCAATTCCCAAAAAAGGGAATTACTAGCGCTCGGACGTACGGAGCAGAAGAGCACATCTGGATGCCCCGCGCATGGTGCTGCCCAGGCCGCCCGCCAGCGCCTGCTGCTACGCCATATCGCTGTTGCACGAACACGTACGTCCCCCGTCTGCCTCGACCCGCCTCGTCCGCCTCGCCCTGCCCCGCACGCACACCCTGGCTGCGCCCACCACTCCTCCTTCCTGACCCCCACCTCTATCTCCGCACGGGCTTGACCCAGGAGCCTGGGTGAGGAGGAGCACGCCCCGTTCGTAGGACCCCAGGCGCGTCGTTCGCCCCATCTGCCACCCCTCGGCTCGCCGCGCCCCTTCCCAGTGCTCGGCCCATGCCCCATGACTATCTGAACATACATCTGAAACACGAAACACTTGCAACATGAAACACCTGAATGCAACATAAGTCTGAAGCAGATGAAACATTTGGAACGTACACTTGCAACATATGTTTCAAACATATGCAACATCCAGATAAAACACTTGCAACATGAAAACACTTACTGCAACATAAGAGTGAAATAGCTGAAACATTTGGAACGTACCCATGCAACATATGTGTGAAACATATGCTACATCCAGATCAAAACGCTTGTAACATACGTCTGAAAAAAGATGAAACACTTTGAAGAAATGCTTGCAACATGTCTCTGAAACACTTGCACCATATGCAACATCCCGATCTACTTTTACAACATCCATATGAAACACTTGCAACATACCTCTAAAATATCTGAAATATTTGAAACATACATTTGCAACATGCGCTTTCAGCGTAATATTTCCTTGCTGTTTGGGAATGGAGGCTCGTCGGCGCGTGGAATTCACCGGTGTAGAGCTCGTCGGTGGTGTGGAGCTTGTTGCTTCGGTGGAGAAGGCCGCGACAGGCCCCGTGGAGAAGGCTGCGGTGGGTCCGCACGCTGGAGAAGGAGGAAGACGGGCTGCCGTGCTCTGGCGTGGAGGAGATGCCGACCGGCGGAGTGGAGCGCGGTGGAGAGAGATGTGCAGTGGGGAGCGCCGTCGCCGAGGTGGCACGACGGAGCACGGTTGCGGAGAGCTGTCGCGGTGCTGCGGTGAGGTGAGTTTTTTCTTTTTTTTCTTTAGAACGGTTGGGGGCGAGTGGATGAGGAGATAAGAGGCAGTCGTCTGGCTGCATCGCGGCCCACCATCGGCACCGTCCGCGCGGACGGACATCCTATACCCAGCATTAGCGAATAAAAAATGGCTACTTGTTTGCGGTTCCGGACTATTGATGATGAGAAGTCCTGTACCTAAGAAGAATGGCTTATCATAAGAGCGGCACCCGTGCCTTCGTTCGTGGTTTTGCAGGACAAAAAAAAAGGAGTGAAGAAAAAAAAAAGAGTACAGTAACTTTGCAATTGCCTTTCTCGGTTATTAGAGGAGTGGTAACAATTAAATATACCAACCAACAAAAGTTGGAATTAATCATTTCGACCAAATGAGTCTTCTTCAAGAAACAATGCATGAAGGAGGGTTGTTAGCCCTGGCATAACACTGTTGATGCATTCTTTCTTACACAAACGTTATTATTTCCTACTCTGATTTAATAAAGAAGACTAGAAGTTACTCTATGACATAACACAAATCTATGGCCTATGGGTGCCCAACCCGATGAAGATGCTGCACAATTGGAAATTTTTGTAATGAACGACCCAATGGAGCTAGCTAGGGCCACCACATGCTAGTGAAATAGTCACTATTATGTGACCTCAAAGTCCGAAGAGCCAGGTCCCTTGTACAGTATATACATTCAGGGGTTCATACTTTGATCTTGAGCAACCATAAAAAACGGTAGCTGAAGACTTAGGCCCGGTTCAGCTCATCTGAGTCTCACTTATAAGCTGAGTAGGATTATCTGATAAGTCGCGATACGTAGAATCTAAGCTGAGCGTTTGGCTGGCTCGATTATTTTGGGATGGATATTTTGCACTAGAAACCCTGACTTTTCTCAAACTATGTAGCACTGTTTACTATTATTCCTGTGAGTCTATAGCCTTACCACTTGACCCAAATAAAAGTTTCTATTTACATCCAGGTCCTTCTTCGTGGGGGAGAAGCTACGGTGCGGGCTCCGAGAGGGGGAGGAGCTCCGGCGGCCGGCGGAGCTGCGGCTGCGGGCGGATGAGAGGGGAGGAGCTCCAGGCGAGGAGGAGCTCCGACGGTAGGCGGAGAAGCGAGCGGGTGGATCCATCGGTGGAGCTGCAAGCGGATGAGAGGGGGAGGAGCTCCAGGCGAGGAGGAGCTCCGGCGGTCAGCGGAGAAGCGAGCGGGCGGATCCGTCGGTGGAGCTGCGGCTGCGGGCGGATGAGAGGGGGAGGAGCTCCAGGCGAGGAGGAGCTCCGACGGTAGGCGGAGAAGCGAGCGGGCGGATCCGTCGGCGGAGCTACACGGCTGCGGGCTCCGAGAGGGGGAGGAGCTCCCGGCGAGGGGGAGCTCCGGCGGCCGGCGGATTTGCTGGCGTGCGGAGCTGCGAGCAAGCAGAGACCCGGGCGAGCGCTCGGGAACGCGGCTCGCGTTTTCCAAATCGCAGCCCTTCGGTCGCTTTTTCAATCACCGTTGCGGAGAGGAAATCGAACGCGAACGCCGCGTTTGTGATGGAGACCGTCGCGAGCCGTTTGGCGGGATTATCCTGCTTCTCCCGTCGCGAACGCGCGATGAGCGGAACCAAACAGGGCCTTATATGTTAAATTAATTATCCTACCATAACTA